AGTGAATGAGAAAACTGACACTTTCAGTTACGTGGTGGCATTGTGATTGGACAGTGTGTCGAGAAAAAGAAAGAAAGGCAATGAGAGGCAATAATTATTCTACCATAGGTCAAAGAGCAGAAGACGGCACGGCCTCGGTCATACTGTGTATAAAGTGAACCTAAAATGAGAAACATGGCAATATCCAAAGCTAAACATTAAGGAAACTTCTTCCTTGTACAGATCTCATTTTCTACCACTTCACTGATGTCACAGGGGCAGATCACAGAGACACAAACAACCATTCAGACTAGTAACTATGTGAATGGTCAAAACCATCGCCATCTTACTTTAAAGGCAGTCGCAGCCACTGTCTGGTTCACCTTTAGGCACAGTTGGTTTTAGACCAGGACAAACCTGGATTTGGAGGAAAAACACATCATTCCTTCATCAACTAATATGAACCTCATCGTCAGCACTAACCCTGACCCTGACAATCAGAACTAACTAAACCTCCTGGATGATACGGATCGACTGAACTTGGAGTCCACACCAAATTATAAGTTTCAGTTATGCAGGTGTTGTGTTGACCTATAAATGTACGTGAAGTGAAAATCCCCGTGGGGAAACACCGACTGAAAAGGGTTAGGATTAAAGGGAAAAGCATCCAATAATGCAAAAACCCAGCACAGGATCAAAGAAAGGCTTTTAGTAAGAACAACGTAGAGTTTCAGTGGACAACAAACACCACGGAGTCAGAGAGATGGACCGGTCAGGGAGGTAGTAACAGCTGATTACCAGATTACTGAGAAACCAGACCACTCAATCATCAGACCACGGACAGACAACACAGAACCAGCGTGTGATTAAAGGTGGAGTCTGTAAATCCTCCCAACACAGCAGGTCCAAGTCACCGCCTTCATCACATCATCTCCCAACGTGAAATCAGAATGTGGCGTGACAGCACGGGCAGAAGAGCAGGGAACTGTTGCCAAGGCAATTTCTAACAGCAAGTGGAGTAAAAAAAAAAAAAAAAAATGACAGAAATGATTACATCTGAAATTCTTGGAGTCCTGGAACTGAACTCCCACAGAAGCATCACCTTGTTGGATACCACCTTAAATGATGTGTGTAATGACACGCTCAGCGGAGCAAGGAATACATCAAGGGACAATTGAATCGATCCAGAACACAGACAATTACAGGAAGGATGAGTGACGCCTCCTTCAGGCACAGAGGAGAACTCAAAACAATGGACTGTTATTAAACCTAGAACCAATTATTGGAAATGTGAATGTTGTTGTAAGGTTTTAGAGAGGTCTCTGAGACTCTGTATGTGTGTGTGGGTGTGTGTGTGTGTGAGAGAGAGAGAGAGATTTTGACAATACACGGTGGATGTCAAGGGAATGGCAGCTGCAATCCGTTCCAGACAGCTCTACTTTGACAGGTTGTCAGCGTTTTACAGGTAAAGGCCGAGACCGTGGAAAATGGCTGGCAGTTCAGTGGGACGAACAAATAAGAGGTAAACTGTGATGAAACCAGAGCGTCTGCTGCTCCACCCGCAGATTTACTCACTTCTTTAACTAGAATTCATCTTTTTTATCTTCCATCTTTTTGGTTTTTTTCTTTTTACATTATTTGTTTTTCAGTCTTTCAGTTTCTCCCGTCTCCTCAGGCTGTAATTAACTTCTCGCTCTGGCAAAGAAGGTTCTGCTTGATTTTTGTGTCAAGTCAAAGTAGGGTTAGTCACTAACACGGTACACGTTCCAGTTTGAACTTTAATTTATTTACTGAAGCTGACACTTCAACAAATACTGTGGAAGCAGCAAAAATCACCGCGTCATCGCCACCTAGCTGTCATTGGTCAACTTTGTGAAGGAAGAACAACTTTGACCTTTTACTAATTGCAACTAATTAATGTTTTTTTGTTTGTTTTTTTTTTGCTACAACACTGATCATTCTCAAATGACTGTAATTAGTCAACGGTCAGACCGACTGTGGCGTCCTGACCAGTTGGTTCTGTCTACGACGTCAGACCGTTCAGAGTGGTCTGTACCAATAAGTCACAGCCCAAAATGTTCACTCCTCCTATTGGTTCAAACCTTTGTCTCCACAGACAGGAAATCCTTTACCAACCAGTCAGCGTGAACATAAATGAAGATGGAATTATTTATGTCGTTAAGATAACGATCTACGTTAGAGTCATTTTGAAAGAGAGGGACATTTTAAAGAAGTGGACATTTTAAAGAAGAGGACATTTTAAAGAAGAGGACATTTTAAAGAAGAGGACCTGAATGGACCATGTGGACATAAATGAAGACCTGTCAGAGTCTGAACAAACAAGAACATAATTAGATCCAATTTAACATCATTGACCCAGACTGGCCATAAAAAAATCTGTGATCAAACCAATCAACACACACACACACACACACACCCTGGGTGTTTCCATCCTGCTGTGCTGTGCTCTGCTGCCAATTTGATGCCTGTGATGTTGGAGGTATTAGATGTGATATC